CCCCAGTACTGAGTGAGACTGCTGCAGCCAGCAGTGGCGAAACAGGCTGTAATGTAACATTACTGTGCAATTGCGCACTATCAGTGTACACCCGCTTAAAGTGATGTTGGACCAGTTTCAAAAATTGTTGACTCCATTAGTCACATAGACACAAAAACAATGGGAAAATAGGGCCAAGTGAAAAATACTCAAGTAGCCCTTTAAGGGATTAGTCAGGAAATAATTTAACTTCCTAAGTTATTTCTATGGATTTGAGAGTTAGAAAATAGCTAACAGTGAGAATGCACACACATTAGAGATTCATGTTACTACCAGACGTGGGCATAAAGTCTGTTTTTTAATTCAGATTTAGGATCCCAGTCCTAGAATAATTGTAACAAAGACACACAGACACAGACAGACAGACAGACAGACAGACAGGTGTTTCTAAGACAAGCACAGCCTGTTGCAACTGTCAGCCTGTGTGTGAAGCACAAACACGCAAAACCAGTTCTGACTGTTGGTGTTGTCTCTAGGTGAACAGAAAGAAGAGTCAGACAGAGTGGGACTAGGTCACCACAACCATACTATGCCTCACTGCATTTCCTATGTGTTATCATTAGATAAGAGCCTGCATAAAGGAAAAAGTGTGCATCTCTTGTGCTTGAGATGAGTCAGCCAAAATATGTACTGCAGAAGCTGTTTGATATGTGAAATTTGTTGCCTTGTTGATATGATGTGTGTTGAGAGGAAAAGAGACCTCTGCTGGTTTGTTAGTTAAACTGCGATATATCATAAAACCACTTTTAAGTAAAACAAACACACTTTTCCACCAAGGAGAAGTAGTTGGTACGTCATTTGAAATTTATTTGATTATCACATCATTTCTGACTCAGAAAAGCCACACAAATTTACATTTTGATTTATTCTGAAATGTGAAATAAATGCAAAAATGTGATGATTCTCACAGTAATCCCTATTGGTTCGACATAGTAACATATTTTCAAAGAATAACACCTGACATAATTTAAATAATTTTATTTTCACAGTCACATCACAAAGGTATTGTATTTTTTGGGGGGGGAGTTTTAATAAGAACCTTCCAGTGAAAGCATTTGGTCTCAAAGAGAGGACGATAGATTAGTATTGCGCCCACGCATCATACTGGGGTGCAGCTAAAAGCCTGCTATTCATGCGTGTGAGTGAGAGGGTCAGTGCTGAGGAGGGAGAGAGGGACAATGTACGTGCTAACGTGTGTGTAATCCCTCCGACAGATCACACCACCTACCATCTGCAAATGCTCAATAAAAGCTCAGAAACGTGTGGAAGCTGACCTGAGAATGCCACAGAGACATTACACCAACACATTAATGGGAAATCTCTATGAATAAGAGATAAATGCACAACAGTACAGGATAATCTATACTATCATTGTACAAACAGACATTAAAGATAGCTCTTCTCAACAACTTACCAGATAGTCAAATGTTAGACTGATTATCAGCTCCTAATATCCATGTTCTGTTAGAGAGCAGACATCAAAATAGGGTGAATCAATATAATAGTATCAAAAAGACAGGAAAGGCAGACAGACAGACAGGAAAGAGAGAAACTGGTCTGAAAAAACAAGTGTTGGAGTGAGAGCAGGTACAAAAGAGGCAGATTGAGTAAGAGAGCGACAGAGTCAATGAGAGATTCATTCCAGCTCTTTAGTCTTTTTTCCCCTGCACCTCGTCTGGCTCTCCCGCAGCAGCGTGGCCCGAGGGAGCTGGCACAGAGTGGGTGCCCCCCAGCCAGTCCCAGTGAGAGAAGAATGGGGCGAAGTTAGTGTTGGGCCGCTGGTGGTGAGCATCATGCTTTGGTGCGCCACCCCAGAGGCCAAAGGGCACCAGGTTATGAATGGACCAGGGGAAGTCGTAGCCACAGTGGTCTTCAGTGGAAGTGTATACGTTGAATACCATGAAGCCCCATGTTGTGAGGCAGTGGCACTGGAGCAGGATGGGGTCTATTGTAGCCCAAAATCCCACGCTGAATAACTCCCAGCCGGACAGGTACTGGGTGACGAGGCTGAAAGGCTGGTTGTACTGGTGGTGCACGGCGTGGAACGTGCGATACAGCCACGGCACCCGGTGGTGCAGCAGGTGCCACAGGTAATACTGGAAGTCAAAGACCACCATGCAGCCCAGGATGCCCAGGAAGAAGCTACAGAGTGTGGGTGCCTCGCAGGGCAGTGGGGTGGGTGGCCTCCACAGCCACTGGGCAACTGTAGCCGGAAAGATGTAGAGGAGATGGTTGTAGATGGTGACGCCCAGGGTGGTCCAGATGTTGGGCCAGGTGACGGGTCTGTCAGGATGGAGCCTGTAGCGGTTAATGCAGGGCCAGGTGGGAGCCATCAGGTCGAGCACAGTGTAAATACCAACCAGGAGGAAGTAGGTGGTGACGGAGAGGATCACGGGGAACAGAGGGCTCCTCAGGAGGTCGTGGTGGTTCTGGTGGAGGTAGTCCCAGGCAGGCTGCAGGACCAAGCCCTGGGACTGGACCCCAGTCACGTTGTCCTCATCCGACATCCAGGATAAAGTTCTGAGTAACCTGACTGTGCTCATCACTAACAGTCTTTCTCTTTCAAAAGAAGGACGATCCGAGGGGATTATTGTTTAACAAGCCTCAGAAGTGGATAAAGAGGGATTTAAATGAACGGAGAGATCCAATCAGCCTCCTCATATAGGTTAGGCGAACAGAAAATTGTCTGGTGATGTTGTGCCAAATTGGACTGGCGGACTGTCTTAGCCTCTTATGTATGTTCAAGCCCCACCTCCACCCCCCTCCACCCCCTGCTTTTCAAAGGAAGGCGCTCTGTAAAGGCCCTTTTTCATGGGCACAAGGACCGCAGCCAGGACTCAGGAGCGGGGCCACAACAGCTCTCATTTTTGACCCAAATCATGGAGTGAGAGCTTCCGTTTACTTGTGATTTTGACTTTGTCACACACAACTAGAAGCTGTGTCTCTTAGCCCTTAAAATTAATACAATGATAACATTACTCATACATCAAGCCATACTTTATATTCACTGCTGCGTGTCAATAATCAGCCTGTTAATATTTCTCTCACTCTCAGATCATCAGACATACACACAAAGAGCACACACACAAATGCATACACACACACCATGCGCTCAAAAGAGTAATTAATCATAGAAAAGCTGTCAAATGAGAAATCAATTCAAAAGCACTCTCTTTCAGATGCTGGATAGTAGCTGGCTCGTTGCTCAGTTTGAGTTTGTTTACAGACTAAAAAGATTTCATTGTAGAAAACTGATCCCAGGCAGCTACCGCAGCTCTGGATTCTACGCTGTGACACAATCATTCTGTACAGAGAGGTTTTAATGATAACATGTGCTTCATAGTAAGACATTATGTTTCATTAGATTTTATCAAACAAAGAGCAGTGTGTTGGCTTTCAACAGAGTGAGAATAGAGTTTTTCCATAAACACATGACACTTTGAATAAATACATCATGACAAGAGAGACATGACTTTAATAACATATAATAATAATTTGCACATATCACTTATGTCCTGGGTCTTCAACAGGGGGTCCGCAACCCCTAGGGGGTCCTCAGAGTTACTGCAGAAAGGCCACCAAATTCGTGTTTGATCATTTAAGTTTTAATGTAAGTTTTTTTTTCTTCTGAAAATACACATAGCATAGCAAGGATAGTTTGTCCCAGTCATTAAAACAACACATTATTACAGAACACATTAATGATGGGCAAACTTTTACACATGAATCCTTGTGCAATCATAGGAGCTAGCTGATGCTAAATCACTGTGCAGCACCTATCCATACTGGCGAGGTGAACGAGTTTGCTCACAGTTTTATACAATATATGTAGTGGGGGAAGAATGAAGACCCCTGGCTCATGTAACACACTGAATATTACACTGGGAATTAATATCATTTGTGGAATGTAACTAAGCATATATGTAAAACCCTGAGGTACAGTAGGCTACTTGTACTTAAAGGGTTAGGGGCCGTGAGAATGCCGTGTCTTTAACCGCCTTGAAGTTTGAAGTTTCGACGGGCCCTAGTGCATGTGTTGTCTTGACACTAACACTGACTTGACTTCGGACAACATCAACATACATATTACCCAGCAGTCATCATTCCATATCTGACAAAAATATCAATGAAAGTAATCCAAATAATCTTTGGAGAGTTGTTGTCGCTATCATAATGACCCATTTTGACTCATTTCTGTCGTCTCTTCTATAAACCGCTGACAGTCTGACCCAAACAGCTGCAGAGCTGTAGAGTTATACCGTGCACGGCAAATGAGGCACAGTAATATGGAAGTTTTATGGTTTAGAAAATGTAGTGCCAAATAAAAGGGCTGTCTGATAGCAAGGTAAAGCAGTGCAAAAAATCCCCAATATAACATTTACTTAGACTGGTATTGATTTTTTTTAGGTGGGCCTCTTAAGAGGTGGCTAAAATACATGTTAACATCAACCCAGGTCTACAGCAATGTAATGCTGAGCTTCCCAGGTGGGACTCCTGCCTGCTACCTCATATGACCTGACTTCAGAAATCCTGAACTAATCCTTTAAGTACTTTGTACGTCTTACTCCATTACATGTATTTGATAGCCAGCTTTGATGTCAGGTAGCTGAGTTGAGGTAGGTCACACACTGTCACCTGAAAATGTTCAGGAAATTGTTAAATCAAAGCTTGGCATCTAGCTAAAAAGTTTGTTTGCCCTTCCCATTTTTGTTGTGTCCGTATTCTGACAGCATAGAAACCTAACCTGTTGGGTTAGCTAGGAGAGAGACCCGTGGTGTTGGGTTGGAGACTGTTTACCCATTGATATGTGTTTCTCCCTACTTAAACCTGAACCAAACCCTATCTCTAACCTAAACCATGAGAAGGTGTTACGCACTAACAGGAGGGAAACGCTATTTGATGGGGGAACAGGCTTTGACAAAACACCAGCAATCACAGCAGACAATTCACTCACTCAACGTGATTTTTTTTTTTTAAAGCAGCTTGCACTAAAAACTTTTAGTTTAGTGTAATAGAGATGTCTGCGTTCTGTCCAATATAATGGAACTTGATGACATTCGGCTTGTGGTGTTCAAAGTGCTAAATAAATAAAAAAATAAGCAAACAATACATTTGGAAACTTCAACAGCATTGTCTCTTGCCAGAAATCATGACCTGATTACTCAAGATAATCACTATCACAGGGCTGACACAGAGATGGACAACCACCTACGTCTAATTTAGAGTCACCGATTGAATGCCTGACGTGCATGTCTTTGGATTGTGGGACGAAGCCAGAGAACCAAGAGAAAACCTACGCTGATACAGGGAGAACATGCAAACTCTGCACAGAGGAGCACCCCCCACCCGGGCTCAAACCCCCCACCCTGGGTTTAAACCAGGAACCCTCTTGCTGTAAGGCAACAATGCCAACCACTGCACCACCACGCTGCCAAACAAACAACAAAATCTAACAATAACAAAATAAACATGTAAGGTTCAAAGTTCATTCTTGATCTTATAAAGACGTTGAGAACAATATTTATTTATAATTAGTATAATTTAATTGTCACTTTAAATTTTTCTGAAGCATATACTGTACATACAGTTTTCCACAATTGATATTTGTCGTGGAGAGGAACAAACACGTCAATGCGGACATCAGTGACATTTTATAACTGGAGCATATTCTAGAAACAGGATGTGAGAAGTAGACTGTTGTGTGCTGTGTAAACAGTGTAGGCGAACATTAAAACACACATCCTGTCTCTAAAAGGCAGGATGCTCACTGAATAAATTAGAACTCACCATATTATCAGCATTCTTTCTGATACCACTGATCTGCCAATAGAGGGCAGTAAAAATCAAGTCTTTTTCAAAGACATGGTTCAGATGACACTCAGTGGATGAAGAAAAAGTAAATTTTAATGCACTGGTGTTATTTAGCTGTACAGCTCGCAGCCACTACACTGGTAACAGGGAGAGCAGCCCATTCATTAATATATATGAAGAGGCTGACATTCAGAAAGGCCTGTGAGATCCAGAGGTTGATGATCCATCAATAACACACAGTGAGACTCTTTCGACGGCCTCAGGCTTAATGTCCGATCAAACCCAGAGGAAAAACTGTGAAAATTACAGAAGTCAATATATA